TAGTCGCGTTCACTTTCTCTGTCTTTTGTAGGAAAATAGCCATTGTCGGTGCTCCAAAAAAATCATATAAATCTAGTCTACACTCAAGTATCTATCTAAATATTAAACAATAAACTAAATTAGTGGGAAAATTTAATCTTTACCATATCTGAAAAATCAATTTCATAATCACAAAAAATAACCTTGTTGAAGATAGTGTCCTCGATAACTGGGGCGGTTAGCGTTGGGTTGACTATGAGGGTGGTGAGGTTGATTGAATCTCTACTGAGTTTTTTTTTTTTTTTTTTTTTTTTTTCCCCTTTCCACTGTTTGCGCAAGATGAAGTGAGGGTCCTTATTGGAAATATAGCCGGGTTTCCTCCCATAATACTTGGGTACCCAAATGTCTCTTTGAAGGATGGAATGGGCTAAGATTTACGACATTTTTTTATTTTTTTTTGTGAAGTGCCACGTCTCCAATTTCTAATTCACCTGTGCACACCCTGTGAAGATCATTAGAAACTACAAAAATACGATGAACACGTAAAAAGTGTTCAGATAGATAAAAGCATTAAAGAATTTAATGTGGTTATACCTAAATTGCCATATAAAAAGGTGTTTATTTTTTTGTTCATTGTGGTAACCTATTTTAGTATTTTCTTTCCTTTGCATTCTTATTTTTTTATTAACTAAAATATCTTGTTATTGATGACAGTTTTCATTGAAAACTTTACAATTAAGCTCCCGTTTGTTTTCCATTCTTTATCAATTAAAATGAAAAATATGAACGTTATCCATTACATCAAGCCACCATATTTGACTTTCTATCTCTTGTGTGGAGCCCATAACGACTATATTTTTCATTCTCATTTTTATATTAATGTGTATCAAACGGAGCCTCAGTTGTAAAACAAATAAAAAAGGGGCTATGCTAAAAAAACAGGGTGGCTGGCCCCCAATATTAATAGAATTGACGAAGAATTTAACCTAATTGACTCAAAATCTAGATCAATTAGGACATTATTTCCCTTTTACAATTAAAGATTAGTAACAACTGAATTAATTAGTGTAAATCAAAATTAATAATTATTTTTAACCATTTATTTTATGGGATTCAAAATTTTTAACTATATATTTTATTATTTTTATTAAGATTTATTAAAAATTTAATTTTAATTCCAACAGCTCATACTAAAAGCTAAATGCCAAGTCAAACAATGGCCTTGTTGCCCACCTACAGATGGAGTGTGCCTTGCGTGCATGTCATCGATTAGGCTCCAATGAGGAAAGGTACAAAGTGTGCCTTGCATTTGCATGCCTTACTTCTTATCATCGATTAAGGGCAATATTTTTTTATTAATGAAATGTCAAAACTAAGAGTGTGATGAAAAAAATTAAGGGTACAAATGTGATAATGAATGAATATTAATAACCTTTAATTTCATTTAAATATGGTGTATTTAAAAAAAAATTGATTTATGAATATAATCATCCTTTTTAAAGAGGTAAAAGAGTAATTATTTCATTTTCTTAAATGCTCAAATGCAAATTTAATCCATCTTTTTTTAGTTAAAAAATTAATATTTTTTTGACAAAAATTAAGTCAAAGTTAGTAGTTAATTTTAAATTAGCGTTTCATATGATTCATAATTTTTATAATTAAATATTTTACCAATTTTTATCAAAATTTACAAATAAAATTATTTTTATCAAAACGGTTTAATAATACAATATGCTGGCTGTATGCAGCTTCCCTAGCAAGTTTGATCCAAATTTTGAAATTTTTTAAAATCAACCTTTTATCTTGCACTGTACGCTCCAAACGTCTCTTTTTCCTCACGTGCTAGCCAATAAGTGCTAGTTTGGGAACCACTATTAACAGCTACTTAGAAACCCGACATGGTCCTTATTTGTGCATTGGATTGGATAAAACTCTCAAATCGAAATGGTCCTTGTTTGTGCATAGGGTTGGATGAAACTTTCGAATCGAATCAATCGGTTCTTTTTAAGTTAAATACCCAAAATACGTAGCTGAATCAAGAATCGACAGGTTTGATTCGATTCTTGGTTTTAGATCAAGAACTGAAGAACATAATCTCCCTAATTTTTTAATTAATTTATTTTAAATAAGTCAAATTATTTTATTTTTTCTAAATAAATTTGCTAACTAATTTATTTAACTCAAACCCAAAAATATGTTTTTCCTATTTATAATTTTCAGTTTCAAAGCTAATTTAATCAAATTAACCTAAATTTTATCCAAATTTGTTACTTTACCGTAGTGTCATTTTTATTGTTCTGAAAAAATTGAATTGAAACTAAACAACGCCTCTTTTAATTATTGTGAGTTCGCAATCTTTCTCTTCGTATGATTTTAACAATCCAATTTATGAAGAACTCAGCAAAGAGAAGCAGAAGACACATAAGATTGTATTACATTATTTTGTAAGAGTTAAGATTAAATATATTACTAGTCGAATTAATGTAACTTTGTAAATATTAAAATATTTAATTATAATAAGGAATCTAGGAACTGAATCGAACCGAATCCAAACGGCTCCATAATTAAATTTGGACCCGAAATTCTATTTATTAAATACCCGAAAATTTTAGGTCCGGTTCGATTTTCATTAGAACCCAACCGAACCAGACCACGTTAAGCCTTATTTGTATGTGTATATATTTATTTATTTATTTATTTTTTCAATTTTATTTTCAATAATCACATATTCTCTTAGCCCTTATTTGATTTCCATTATTTTCAAAATATATATTTTCTCTTATTTTCAATAAAATAATATTAGACGTAATTTAAAACCTTTTTTTTAAACCAACATTCTCCATCAAATACTATTCTCAAATGCATTTTGAGCAAAAAATGGGGCTCAAACATGCTTTTAATAAAATAATTTTACATATAAATTCAATTTTTTTCTTATCCCTTGTTTGTCTCCTTTTTTAAAAAACTTATTGACTCTCAAACTCATTTTCAACAACATATTCACGTAATAAAATATTTTACACGTAAAATAGAGTTTTTTTCTTATTTTTTAACCATATATTTTTTAAAAAATAACTACAGCAAACTTCGTTTTCACAACAAATGGGCTCAAACGCCGCATAGAGCTTGTTTGGGAGTGATTTTTCTCTTCAAAAAATTGATTTTTTGATCGTTATTTCATTATTCCAGCTGTCATATTTGACTTCTTCTCTCACAAATGGATCCCACTTTTCTCCCAACGGTCAAAAAATTAATTCTCAAAATCACTTCCAAACAGACTCGTAATCTTTTTCTCGAATCAACTACAACACACGTAAATTAATTATTTGGTATATGAACAAGCAAGCTAGCCTAATTCTTTAGCATAATTTACTCGAATTAATTTTGAAAATAAGTATAAGCCCTTGTTTGATTCTCATTATTTCTTAAATATATATTTCTCCCTCTTCTTTCGGTCATAAAATTTTCAATAAAATAATATTATGAGCTACCCCAATTTTTTTTATATATTTTTTAACCACACTTTTTTCATTAATTTACTATTCTAAAATGTATTCTTAATTAAAAATGAGGCTCAAATGGATGCTAAAAGTGAAAAAAAATTTGAAAACAAAGAAACTTATTTCATAACATAAATTACAGTCAACGGTGGACTAAAGAAAAAGCTAAAAAGATGTTTGGTGGGGATTAAAATTAAAATTTTGGTAGGTTGTTATAAAAGTTTTTGAAATGTGTGATTGAAAAATTGTGATATCTATATAAAATATTAATTGTTTGACTTTGATTTAAATTAAAATCATATTTTAACTATAACCATACATGGGCTAAATACAATGGGTTAGTAATCACACATTTGACGCAAAACGAACAAAAGTGGGAGGGGAGTTCACAGACATGGGCCGCTTTATTTTACATTAAGCTTTCGTTTGACCCCCTTTAAAACTCTTTAATTTAATTTAATTTTTCTCTCTTTTACTTTCAATCACACAATTTTTAATAAAATAATAATTACACTCAAATTGAAAACTTTTCAACCACACAATCTTAAAAAAAAAAAAAATACTATTTCACTCTTTATAAATTCAAATAATGGGGACCAAACGGGAGCTAACTATTGTGTTAATTACTGAAAGTTTTGAAAACCTTAAATTATAATTCACTTTGACGAAATTTATTTTTCATTCACAGGGTCAGATTTGTAATTAATTATAAATTTTATTCACATATTTCATAATGAAATCTTGACGTTGATGATTGAAAATATTTATCCTTGCTTGGTAGCCATTTTTTAGAATTTTTTTTTTAATTCTTGTACTCATTTTCAATTAAACTTTGTCACGATAAATATTGTTTACGTTAACTCAAAACATTTTTTTTTTAGCCACACATTTTACAAAAAATTATTACTCAAAAATTCATTTTTCCTAAAAATTGGCTGTCAAATGGGACCTTAATTCAAATTCACCTTTTTTTTTTCCATATACATAAATGAATGGAAAAACAAAAATACCACATTTGGTTCAACTTAAAAATTATATTAAAATTCAAGTTAAATTAAATAATTAATTTTAATCATATATTTTAAGGGATTCATAACTTTTTAAGTATATGTTTTATCAAAATTCAGGTCCCGTTTGTTTCTCATTTATATAAGAATGAGAATGAAAAATATAGCTGTTAGGAGCTGCACACAAGAGATAAAAATTCAAATATGATGGCTTGATGTAATGAATAATAATCAGATTTTTCATTTTAATGGAGAAAGAACGAGAAATAAGCAGAGGCTTAGCCCCCGTTTGACCCCTATTAAATTACATTACATTCTATTTTTCTCTTTCCTATTTTCAACCATACAATCTTTCATAAAATAATATTACTCGTAAATCAAAATTTTTTTCCCTCTTTTTCAACCACTCATTTTCATTACCAAGAAATGAGGTCCAAACAGGGGCTTAATAATTAAATCAAACGGGCTAAACATACTCATGCCCTGCAACGCTGTCTGGCGGCAAAACATACCTAACTATCCCAATTTGGGTTCATTCTCGCGCAAGCTTTCTTCCCAAAATTCAAATCCCCCGCTCAGAATTTCAGATTCAAATTTCATTCTTTTCCCCTATTTAATCTTCACATTATCCTCCTTATTTTCCACAAGCAACCATTTGTATTTTGATCCAAAATCTTGATTCAGTCTCCCCAAAAATGCCTTCAATTCCGGAAGAACCCATCCTCGCCCCAACGCCAGATCGATTCTGCATGTTCCCAATTCAATATCCCCAAATTTGGGAAATGTACAAGAAGGCAGAGGCCTCGTTTTGGACGGCGGAAGAGGTTGATTTGTCCCAGGATATACAGCACTGGGAAAAATTGACCGACGATGAGAAGCATTTCATTAAGCATGTTCTTGCCTTTTTCGCCGCCTCGGATGGCATTGTTTTGGAGAATCTCGCCGGAAGATTCATGAAAGAGGTTCAAATCTCGGAGGCGCGTGCTTTTTATGGGTTCCAGATCGCGATTGAGAATATCCATTCCGAGATGTATAGTCTCCTTCTTGAGTCCTATATAAAGGATTCAGAGGAGAAGAATCGGCTTTTCCACGCGATCGAGACCGTTCCTTGTGTTGAGAAGAAGGCCAAGTGGGCCCTCCGCTGGATTGACGGCTCAGAATCCTTTGCCGAGCGCATACTCGCCTTTGCTTGCGTCGAAGGGATTTTCTTCTCCGGAAGTTTCTGCGCTATATTTTGGCTAAAAAAGCGTGGATTGATGCCTGGATTAACTTTTTCAAACGAGTTAATCTCGAGAGACGAGGGTTTGCACTGTGATTTTGCTTGCTTGCTCTACAGCCTTCTGAGAATGAAACTGAGTGAGGATCGAGTCAAGGGAATTGTTGCTGATGCGGTGGATATCGAGAGGGAATTTGTCTGCGATGCGCTTCCTTGTGCCCTGGTAGGAATGAATGGTTATCTGATGAGTCAGTACATTGAATTTGTAGCCGACAGACTGCTGAATGCACTTGGGTACAGCAAATTATACAATGTTCAAAACCCATTTGATTGGATGGAATTGATCAGTTTACAGGGGAAAACAAATTTCTTTGAGAAGAGGGTTGGTGAATACCAGAAGGCATCAGTCATGTCAAGTTTGAATGGAAACGGAGACACCCATGTGTTCAAAATTGATGCAGATTTCTGATTATAATGGGTACTTTGCTTTATTATATAGATCTACAGTACTGGTAATGGATTATCGTTTAATTACAAATACGTGAGTATGAATTTTTTTTAATTATTTAAAATATCGTTTGTAACAGTAGTTGTAATCTGTAGTCTTTGTTTAAATTAATTTTTAACTTCGTCTTCAAATGATGAGTGTTCAATGCATCTGCTAGTGTTTTCATTGTGGATTGATGGGCTTCATGGGGATGCAAATTGGGCAGTTAGCCCGAAATGAGAATTACATGGGAGACATAAAACACGTCAAGAATTCTTTTATTTTGTGACCAATTGGAATTTTGAAGATTTGCAAAGAGTTAGGTGAAGATTGAGATTGTTTATACAAAATAATCAAAGTCCGTCCCTACACTTGCAAGTTAATTTTAACCGGCTTGAGATTTCGTTCTTCATAACAATTAAATGATTTTCAAATTCCACAAATTGTAGGAAAGTAGAAACATGAGTTATTTCTTGTCAATAAAATAAAAATTCATTTAGTACTTGTTTGGTATATATTTTAAGTCAATTAAAATTAATTTTTTGATTGTTATTTCATTATTTCAATCGTTATTTTTGATTTTTTTCATTTGTAGTACTCACTTTATTTTTAACGGTCAAAAAATCAAGCATCAAAATATTTATCAAACAAGCACTGAGACATGTAAAATCTCAAAGCTTCAATTTGTCTTCTACAGTAATGCCACTTATCCTGAGCCATGTAGGCTCGGGATTTCTGGGGGGGACACATGTCCCCTCCTATAGGTTGGTGGCTTGTCGACTTGAGATTTCTAGCAAAACTTTGTCTTTTATTTGCCTCTATGCCTATTGGATAATTACCTTGTTTTTGCAATTCTTTTCAATTTTATTAAGTTAAGCTTTTGTTTGTCATTCATTCTTTTTCATTATTTTTTTAAAATAATATTACATGTAAATAAAAAAAATTTCCTTTTTTTTAACTATACATTTCAACATCAATCACTATTACATAATACATTCTTCTCAACTAATAAGTAACAAACACATTCTAAACTTACTAATTAAGCCCCCATTAATTTTCATTCCATTACATTTTATTTTTCTTTATCCTATTTTCAACCACATACTCTTCCATAAAGTAATATTACACATAAATAAAAAAAAAATTCATTCTTTTTTAACCACTTATTTAAAATAAAAAAACACCATTCCATTTATTTTCATTTCTATAAAATGAGGGTCAAATGAGGGCTAAATATTAAATGGGGCGTGATTATTGTGGATGACAAGTTAGTGATATTGACAAGTCAAAAGCTCAAAATTACTTTAGTGATGCTATACTAATAGGGATTGCTGACAGGTTTTAAAACAAGATGACACGTGTGAAGCAGTGATTGAACAGTTTAAAAAATTGCCAAAAATTGGACCATACATGGGTTGACACTTCACACCTGGATTCAAAATCCTTGTTTGAGTAGATTAACTGTCCGTTTGATCCCCATTATTTCTTATTACATTAAATTAAATTTTTCTCTCTCCTACTTTTAACAACACAATTTTCAATAAAATAATATTACACATAAATCAAAAAAATTTCAACCACTTATTTTTTTAAAAAAAATACTATTCATCTCATTATAATTTCAAATAATGGGGCTCAAACACACCCTAATTGAAATTACTTTCCATTCTGTATTGAGTTTTGTTAAAAATCAAATTTAGTCCTTGTGTGGGAGGCATTCTCATCTCCATTACGATAAAAATTTCAACAATTTTTCTACTTGCACAGGACCCTGTGCACAGGGTCTGTGCAAGTAGCACAGCCCAAATTTCAATCATTAACTCTACAGTGGGTCCCTTGGTCGTTGTCATTATTGACAGATGTTAGTGACAATTTGAATTGACATTAATGTGGGTGTGGAAATGACAAAATTGCTCCTCCATATTTTTATACTTAGGGAGTTTTTGATAGCATGAAAATAGAAAAAAAAGATGGAATTGAAATTGGACGTCCCTTTTCCTTTTCCTCCATAATCAAATCACATTGGAATAATCAAATGCTGTGGACGTCCCTTTTCCTTTTTGACAAGAACTGGGCCCATTTCAATTTACAAAATGAATTCTTTAGGAAAAAGGGGCAATCAAACAAGCCCTAGAGTGGATTATTAAAAATCAATAAATGTGATACTTAGCCTCCATTTAATGGGGACTAAAATAATTTTTTTAAAAATTTAAATCAAAGTTAACTATTTATTTTAATTACTCATTTTATGAAATTTACAACTTTTTAAATAAATCTCATTAACATTTGTCAAAATTCAATAAAAATCTGATTTTAATTCCCACAAAATAGAGGATTGATAAATTAATAAGAGTTACAAATTTCATAAAATATGATATTAAATTAATTGTTGATTGTTGGTTCCAATTTAGGACTCAACTATCACCAAGAACGCAAGAAATTCTTGATCAAAGTCTCGGAGGCACATTAACCTCTTCAAATATCTAGATCCTTGTTGAGCGTTCGTTAAGATTATGCTCAAATTTACTAGCACAACCTCTATTCACATGGTAAAAGGTTTGATTACAGAAGATTTTCTGAAAATTCGAGCTAATATCTTTAAACTAACATCACAAACTAAATCACTCACAAAGAGGGATGTAGTGTCATAAAAAAAAAAGGGAAAAGGGAAAAGCATCCATCCTCTATATAACAATCTCACTCAAGAATTTATAGAAGTTCATCAAAGAAGTTGAACACTAGAGAGAGAGAGAGAGAGAGAGAGAGGTTTCAGAAAATATTGTTGGAGTGTCTCAAAGAAATGTTACAAGTACAAGTTTTTTTTTTTAGATAGATTTTATTGAGAAAACATAGCTGTCTTATAGGGATTGATCACTGCCAAAAATAATTTTTAGCAATAGCAAATCACCTATATAAAATTTAGTAAAAAAATCTGTACCTTCACAATAATTCAGTGTCTAATTCACCTAATGACAATCGATATCACACGTGTCAATTTGTACAAGGATCCTCATAAACTCCATGTTTATCACACGTGTCAGCCATCTATTAAAAGCCAAGATTATTGTATACGATCAAATCAAAGTTTTGGGCCATCATCAATTTCTTTTCGGCTCAATAAATTTCATCAACCCAAATACTTCACAATCTCCGCATTTGCTGCAATTTTGAGACCGTACCGAAGTGGATTTTAGACAAACCTGCTCTCTTACATGTCAGAAAAATAAAAAATAAAAAATTAGTAATGTTTAAGGTTCAATAGACTTAAAGAGTCCTTGAATTTATTTAGTGGCATTAACTTTGTAACTGCATCTTTTGGATTTACTTTAGTTGGAATTTTGACTAATTTCATATTACCTCTTTCAATTACATCTTTAACAATATGATATTTAACATCAATATGCTTATTTCTATAATGACATATAGGATTTTTAATTAAAAAAAAAAACGTACTTTGATTAGCAATACAAAGCTTCACCTCATTCTCTATAACGCCTGATTCATATAACAAACCTTTCATCCGCAATCCTTCTTTGACTGTTTGAGTAACAACTATGTATTTGCCTCAATTCAAGATGAGTTGTGTTGCGTGTACACAATGGTGTACGCACAGGCTTACACCCCCCTCACATGGAGAGGGCTCACATATAATAAAACATTCGTGGACCCTCCCTCATGTGAGAGGGTTGTAAGACTGTGTGATTAATTTCCTATTCAGTTTTAAGTGATTTTTCAATAGATAGTTTCACATCAAATTCTTCTAATTCTAAATCAAATTGTATAACAAGAGCAGGGCCGACCCTAATATTTTGGGGGGCTTTATGCCATCTTTAAATTTGGGGTCCTATTGAAAAAAAAATCATTACATTCTCACTTGAGCCTTCTTATAAAAAGCTTTAATATGATTATGAAGAATCTAATATAGATAACTAAGCACCAAAATTTGAAGAGAAAAATAACATAATGTCAAAATTCAACATGCAATATCAATTATAAGTGAAGTTTAACGGGTTAATAACCTAAATGGTCATTGAACTTTACAAAATATTTTTACAGGATCACTGAACTTTAAAAATCATCGACGTCATCATTGAACTTTGCAAAAGGTTTACGTAGAGTCACTGAACTTTAAAAATCACTCCATTCATCATCATATTTTGCAAAAGGTTTCTATGAGGTCACTAAACTTTGAAAAAATTTCCCGGGGATCACTCTGGAAAACTTGTGCAAAATTTAATGATAAATGGGATGATTTTTGTGACTTATGTGAAATGAGTAACGTAAATCAAGAATCCAATTTTGATAACATTTTTCCTTTGAAGAGACAACGGCTATCCCAAATCCAATATTGGCTCTTGCTCCTT